CTGTCTGGGAACATGTGGTTATGCAAAGCTCCCCAAGGGGTGTGACCATGACACGAGAATAGCAAGATACCCCCAGGACCATGGTACTTGCCAAGATGCAGTCTGACAGTTTGGATGTAGGGCTGGAGAAAGGAATGCAGATTCAAAGTGCTGGCCTTGTAAGGACAGCTGACATGGCATAGGTAATATCAAGAAAACAAGATACTTTTGCACAATACCCCAGAATCTACAGCAAAGCCAAGTAGCTGATACTACTCCATTTTTTTTATTGAATATTTTTTTTTCAATACAGATGTCATCCCCTTTCCACATTTCCTCTCCCTAGAACCCCCTATCCCATCCCTCCTCCTCCTTTTTGTTTTTCTACCATTTTAATTACATGCATGTATTAAGGTCAGTTCTAGGTTGAGGGTCTAGCAATACTTTTCAGGCAGGAATCTAAATCTTCGGCTAGAAGAAAGAAGTAATTTCAGACAGGAATCTAAATTTTAGGCTAGAACAAGGAAATCGGCTTCAGACATGAAAATGACTTTGGTCTAGGACAAGGAAGTAGGCTCTGATGGGCTACTTCATGATCCATGGCCTGAACCACACTGGGTGAAGGGCTCTTGCCAGAGGGGAAGTCAGAGAGCAGCTTTCCTGCTGGATCATGACCTCCACAAGCACCGTTTCTGGCTGGAGGTTGAGACCGCCAAGCTCTGTGGCTGTGACTCATGGTGCCACTTCTAAGCATCTCTGGGTTGTGTCACAGAATTGTGGTGTCTTGTGTTCTCATTCCTGCTCCGGCTTGCCCTAAGGCAAGGCTTGCAGAAGGCGGGTTTTCTCAGGCACAGATATAGTTCAGTGAAAATAACTCTCCTAGCTGTGCAGGATTTCTAAGAATAGCCTTATTTTGCTTGAGTTCTAGTAAGTTGTTCTGTTGTAAAGATGCTTGGCTCACTTGAGCCTCCTGCCCCAAACTTTTACTGGTCCTGCCCAGGGGAGGGACTGAGAGGCTTACAGCAGTCACCTTTGCTCTTCTTATGTGAGCTGCCCAGAAGGTCTCCACCCAGCATGTGCAAACGTCTTTGGTCCACAGGATAGCTAAGAACTGAAGCATTGATTGCCTTCCCACCTCGGGACCCAGAAGGCTGAGTGAAGATGAGATTGGTGAGCCTTCTCTAGCCTGTGGGTCTCTCTAGGCTTCTGGTCCTCCTCGCCTTGGATCCTTCTAGGCTGTCCCCCTTACTTTCTTTCTCACCTCACCAGTTTTTTAAGGATTTTGTCTTCTGCAGTTACTCTCCGCCCTCTTGTGGCCTTTGTTTTCTGTCCTTTAGTATTTGATAGTCTTTAACAAGGCACACATAACCTGTTACTCTTCTCACAGCCCCCAAGACTTGGCATTCTAGTCGCCATTATCCCCCTTTGCTTGCTTTATCTTTGCCACTCCAGATTCTTTGTCTTTTGTTTTGGTGCCATGGGGTTGTTTGTGACTCCCGTCTTACATCCTTGCTCTTGCATAAATAAAGCCTAGGAAAGAAATGTGGTGAATAACAGAGTAAGATCATGTTAAAGTGGGCTGCTATTATCACAAAAAATAATTTTGGGTTTCAAGGCCTGAGAAGCACTAACTGGAAATGTAATGACACACAGTTCGTGGCTCTGTGGATGCTGCTTTGCCTGAGCATCCTGCTTTGTCAGTTATGTAGCATTTGAAACAGCTTTGACTAGAACTCTCTCAGGCTGACTTTCAGAATTGTGTAAATTCTAAAGAGCAACAGCAAAGTCAACCTGGAGGAAGTTTTTAGAAATTCACTGAATGTCGTTCTTGTGTTTGAGAAGGCAATCATGCAGCTCCTGACAGCTCTGGGGCTAGCTATTCTGTTAGTAAGGCCAGACTGCCAAAGCCTGGGGAGAGCTGTTGGTGTCCCAATACCAGAGCCTGTCGGGGACTTTCAAGGCACCAAAGTTGTGTTGTTCACCCTGTATGTGTGCTGTACAATGTTTGAGCTTCCTGGAATGATTGGCCTGGGAAGTTCTGAGTGTTGGTGCCAACATTTGATGTCAGTTGTTTGCTATTCCAAGGGGGCACAGATAGCGTCTGGTCCCATCACAAGCAGGAATCACAAGATGCCAGCTCAGCTGAGTCCTCTGTGTCCTTGATTATTGTCAAGAATCCTTGGAGGATATAGCCATAGGATTTGTGTTGCTAGCTTAGAGAAGAGTTGAGAAAGGTTTTGCTTCGTGTATCTCACGATTAAACACAAGCACATGTACACATACTCTCTTTGGACAGCTTTAGATGGACTGGTAGAAGGATGACCTCACTCTCGGCTTCCAGTCCTTGGTTATTCTAAACTATATATCCAGCTTTCTCAGTGTAGACCTGCTTACCAGGAGAAAGTTTTAAACAACACGAAGTGCAAGCTATATCAATGTTATCTGTTATCCCTGGAGGCCAATAGGAGGCCAAGGGAATGTGGAAAAGTCACTCTGAAGGCTTGCCTAAGCATCTCCTAGGGTGGGGTGTTGGGAAAAGTAGAGCAAAGACTTCAAGGCTAGAGATTGCTTGGCCTGTGGTGCCCTACAGTTTCAGGACACCTTTCTTGGTTGGCCCATGGCTTTAAAAACAAAAACAACAACAAAAAAAACCAGACATTTTTAGTCTCCTTGCCCAGAATTGGAGCTACAAAGGTGAATTGAAAGAACATGACAAAGCAGTCACCCCTATCCCAGGACTGAGGTGACATCAGGAAGGTCTGAACTCTGTCTCTCCTGTGTATCTTTTCTTTCTTTGTTTCTTTGTTTTTTCATCCCCCAACCCCTTAATTCCTTTTTTGGTTTTTCAAGACATGGTGGTCTCTGTGTAGCTCTGGCTATTATAGAACTCACTCTGTAGACCAGGCTGACCCAAAACTCAGAGATCTGCCAGCCTCTGTCTCCCAAGTGCAGGGATTAAAGGCATGCACCACCACTGCCTGGCCTATGTCTGTTTTTTACTATGTCACTGAGGGCAATTTTTCTTAGTGACTCAGGCCCTGGTCTCCTGATTATAAAAGGAAGGGTTAGTGTCCTGTGATGTAACTATTTCCAGCTATTATTAAGCAGTTAATAATGGGAGTGTGTATTGTTATCCTCAGTCATAAAATGAGGTAAAATTTTCTTGTATTATACTTGTAATAGAGATGTAAAAAATTAACTGTGGACCTTGTCATAATTGCTAAAGTTGCTTGGATTTGACATCTGCACGCTTTCATAGAGTCCCTAAACTTAAGTCCATGTAAGAGTCCTGTGGGCACTGTAAGAAGTGAAAAGCTCACTCACAAAGACACCCTGGCCATATGTAGCTTAGGGTGGAGGAGACTTCTTCCCCTCCCCACCCAATAATAGTGTTCAGAATATCAATTATAGCCTGGTTGATATCAAGCTTTATGTGAACACATTTAAATACACATTTTAAAGTCCCTTTAAGATAGATCACTCCAAAAGCAAACAAAAGCTAGCAACATAAAATTCTTCAGAGCACTTTTTCCAAAACTGTATTTCTGATTCCATCTTATCTCCCTACTGCCCTATTTTTAGAAACTAACATAAATAAACTTAACATACCCTGTTTATAATAGTGAAAGGAGAGTGGATTTTAGTGATGTATGCCTGTACAGTCTCAGCACTGAAAAGGCTGAGGCAGGAGGATTGTAAGTTAGAGGTTAGCCTGAGCAACATAGTAAGACCCTCCCCATCCCATCCCAAAGAAAAAAGGCTTGGCTGTGTTGGTAAAGAATCTTAGTTGCTGTCAAACCTTGGTGTTGACCAGTTCTTATGAGAGCAAGGGGGCCTGAAAGGAGGGCAAAGTACCCCAGTACCTGATGCCTGTCTGTTTTAGCTGAGGGACACTTGGGACAGACAAAAATAGGAAGAAGAGAAGGGACAAAAAGGTTGGACCTGTCTTTGACTACCACTGTACTCAAAATAATGACAATGCCAGCTCTGTTTACATTTCATCAAACATTCTGACCTTTTTCACTCAGATACTTAATTTGCCCAAAAACAAGGACCTGATTAGCACTGTCATTAACACAGCGTATCACATCCCTTGATTTGTCTTTGTTGGCTAGCTCACATTTTTTGGTGAAAGAGTGGTACAGATCTTAAGGGAATAATCAGATCTTCATTCTAGGTGCATGTACTCGAAATTCAGATGAGCAAGATATTAGGCTTTCAGGCACTCTGGAGAAAAAAAAGTGTTTAGGAAGGATTATCATGGATGTCATGACTAAATACTTCGTGCTTGGGACAGATATGTTTTGGAAATCAGTTCCCGTAAATGGGCTTGTGATTTGATTTTTGCTTTAAAAAATACAGCTTGTTCTATGAGGTGTTTAGATCTTGGTCATCTCAGAACTCAGAATTTAGTTTATCTAGGGGAGTGTGCACACCTAGGATCCTGAGGAATCTGTGCATGAGCGAGGCTGACATGTAATAAAAACAGATTATGATGTGGATTTTCTTGAACTCTTGTTAGCTGTACAATCTCTTTCCCAGTTGTGTTGTCTGAAGAACATACAAAACAAATCAAAGCTACCGTTGGGAGCTAACAGCCATATTCTTTTGACTTCTTTCTACTCAGTAGCAGTTCTGAGCCTTAGGAAGAAGCCATGGCACTCGATAGGCCAGACCAAAGACTGAGCATTGAGTGGGTGGATCCATGTCAGCCCCTGCTTCTCAGACACAGAACCCAGCCTTCCAGATTTAGTGATGAGCCTTCTCTTTGTGAGGAGTCTTGTCCCCGCACGTTACCTGGAAGCAGTTTCCACCAAGCCATCTTGGGTCAGATAGATTCTTGCAAACCTTACTGCTCTGCAGTGCACTGTGTGGTGTTAGCTCTTGGCTTGAGTCCTCTCCCTGCTGGGTCCCTGGAATGTCTGGGTGTCATGCAGGACTGTAGAAGTTGGGCTTGGTGTGCACCCAGGATCTCTCATGTTAGTCTGTTCCCCCTGATTTTTTCTTTGTTTATTCACTAGATGATGATTCTGACCTGCACTCTCCTCGATATTCCTTCTCTGAAGACAGTAAGTGACTGAAGCCTCTGCTTGTGGGAGAGGAAGCAGGGGAATAGTGACAGCTTCAGGGGTTATTTTTCATCCGAGCCTAAAGTATTTTGTGTATACTTTCTCCAGCAAAGTCTCCCCTTTCCGTGCCTCGCTCAAAAAGTGAGATGAACTACATCGACGGGGAGAAAGTGGTTAAGAGGTCTGCTACACTCCCCCTCCCAGCCCGCTCCTCCTCTCTCAAGTCCAGCCCAGAGAGGTAAGTGCTTTCTTAGATGCTCATCCCCAGTGTCTGAGTCCCAGGAGCCTCCTTTGTTAGGAACAAGAAACTTGAATCCTTGCCTGGGGTCACCTGTCAGCAGCAACTTAATCTGGGTCTCCATATCCTTACCTGTGAACTGAGGATAAAGACATCATGAGTCCTCTCTGCAAGGATAAAAGAAGAGATTGCACTTGACCTTCATTTCCAGGCCTGGCTCGAAGCATGGGCGTAATTAATGTCAACGATAATTACTATAACCTTTTCTCGTTTCAATTAAAAAGGATTGTAGTATTAGTAATGAACTCAGAGCCCTCATGAATACAGGCAGGCGCTCTCCCACAGAGCTCATCTTTGGCCCTCTACTTTCACTTTTTCGCTTGAGGCAGCATCTCAATAAGTTGTCCAGGCGAATCTTGAACGTGTTCTGTATGTAGTCCAAGCAGTGCTTGAACTCTCAGTCCTCCTCCCTCAGCCTCCATGCAGTTGGCTTTACAGGCCTGTACCATCGGGCTCTGTAATAAGAAAACTCTTGACTTGGACATTCATTTACATATTTGTAGCAAAGACTGCAATATTAAACTGCAGCTTATATTCTGTGAGTCAGTTTACTGATATAACATGTATTGACATAAATGCCCCATGGAGTAATTGTCTGGTGTCCTCTGGACAGGTATCCCCTGTATTTTCTGGCCCCAGCTTTTGCCAATCTCTACAAACTAAAAGGTCTAAGCAGAAGAAACTTACTATTTTTTCTTAAATTCACATCCAGTTTCATACCTCCATATCTCCATGGGCAAGTGAATGGCTGTTTTAAAAGCCCCACATGTGCCTGATACATCTACCTGATGAGTCTGATAATTAATAAAAAAAGGAATGCTGGATATGCTATGAAATTATAGGTATATTCAGTAAGCACCTACTGGGCACATTTTATGTAGATTGAACCTGACTTTACAGAAGAATATACAAATCATTGTCCTATCTTCCAGAAAGTTTTAACCTTTCGTGAAAAACGAAATATAACCATAGTGTAGCAGTGTTCCTGTGTAAAAAGTTTGCAGACATTTGCAAAGATTCATCCATCCTTTGAAATCCCATCTCTTGGATGTCAGGCTGAAAATCCATACCTGATAAGGCTGATAAGGGGGCTTAACAGGTGAAGGTGCTTGGCACCAAGCTTGACCTGAGTTTGATTTCTGTAAAACACACACACACACACACACACACACACGCCACACACATACACACCCACACCACATACACACACATACACACCACACACACAAATACACACCACACACACACCATACACACACACACCATACACCATACACACCACACACACACACACACACACACCACACACAAACCACACACACGGTCTTCGAGTTACTATTGCTGTGGTAGAACACTATGACCAAAAGCATCTTGGGGAGGAAAGGGTTGCTTTCACTCACAGTTCCATATAACAGTTCATCAAAAGCAGTGAGGGCAGGAACTGAAAAGCAGGGCAGGATCCTGGAGGCAGGAGCTGAATCAGAGTCACGGAAGACTGCTGCTTACTGGCCTGCTTTCTTATAGAACTGGAGACCACCAGCACAGGGATGGCCTCACCTACAATGGGCTGGGCCCCTCCCTGCCATTTATTAAGAAAATGGCATGTTCCTGGATCTGATAGAGTCATTTTCTCCATTGAGGTTTCCTCCTTTCAGACTACTCTAGCTTGTGTCAAGTTGACATAAAATTAGCCAGCACACAGACAAATAATAAATTAAAAAACAAAACAAAACACCCTTTGACCCAAACCGAGATTAGTATGTAGCAGGTTCAGGCGCAGAATAGGAAAGAACACAGGGCACACAGCTGGTGTTTACTGAGGGCTGCTTTGGACCTGGCATGCTGCCACAGAGGTCCTCATCTAACAATTAGACAAGCTGGTGCTTCAGGAGGTCGTACAGCACTGAGATCACCTGGGTAGCTAGGGTTTGAACCACAGTCTGGCTGCTCGAGAACCTGTATTTGTGCTCTGCATAAATCGTGTGGGAGTTCAGGCGTGTTTGAGGAATGTTACAGTCGTAAGAAGCAGAGCACTTTTTCCAGGACAACTGCTGCATTCCCTGTCCTCCCTCCTTCCTCTCTCCTCCATCTCCACATCCTGCTGCCAGGTTTTGGGCTCAGGGTACCCCATGCTCCTTGTGAGCTAAGACAGAGATTTAATTGGGCTGTTTTGAGAAGCAAGCTAATACAGCTAAATCGCTGGCCTTGATTCCAGTTTTATGCTTTGGATATACAAATTCTTTGATCAACAGCCAACTAGATTTGGACCTTGTGGGAAGCTGGTGCTGTTTTCATGAAAATAGGATTTTTCCTTCTACAGAAACGACTGGGAGCCCCCAGATAAGAAAGTGGATACGAGAAAATACCGAGCAGAGCCCAAAAGCATTTATGAATATCAGCCGGGCAAGTCTTCGGTCCTGACCAATGAGAAGATGGTAATGTGCATATGAAAGGTCTTTTGTCTGCCCTTGTAGAGTTGGAGCATATCCTTCCCCCACTTGAGATAGGCTGGTTTTGTGTAGAACAATGAAAAGAGTTGAAGTATTTTCACCCTCTGCATTTCTCCAGGTCTTCATAGATTAGTCCCGAGTCTGCTTATAAAAAGCTGTTTTTTTGTGGCTGTCGTTCCATTTGTGTGTGGTTTAACTCACTTTAATTTTCTACTAACAGCCATTGATCTCACTTATTTTTTTCTTTAAGGGAAAAAAATGTACTACTTTGTCAAGCTTATTGAGTAAAGGGTTTTATTTTTTGTAGGCAATTCTGGTTTGAAATGGACGAATATTACAGAAATCACTAGTCTAGCATTAAAATCATTCGTAGATAAATAACCAATAGAATGTTGTAACTTGGGGTAAAGCCCAGACTGTTAGATTTTTTTAGCTTTAGGTCTTTTTGGTCTTTGATTGGCAAAGTATTGAGAACTACCATAAAAATCAGTTTGGCTTATTGTCTTTTACCCAAATTCACATCTCTAGAAAATTAGGTGGGGAAAAAATGTGTGGAAATTCCAGGCTGCCATGGAGAAGTAGCCACTTCTGCCAAATAGGAAGACTTTACAAACTAGTTTCATATATGCCAATCATGTTTCCTTTCATTCACCCTTCATTCTTCATTAGAAAAAGATGGCTCAAATTTTGGAAAATGGTTAAACATATTCTCTAAAGCCTCCTCAGTGCCACAGCCCTCTGGTTGGATAGCAGGTTGGAGAAAAGTCTCCTTAAGAGCGGTTAGCCTGCCTTCTATGTGTTTTTAAGGGATAATTGATTTGACTTTTACTGAAATGAGATGTGATGTCTTTATAAATGCTGGAGTAATTTTAATTAGGAAAAGGTCATCAGTTCACAGAAACGCCTTTAGAGTTATCATTCTTTGAGTTTGCTGGGCACCGTGGGTGTTTGAAGCAAAGAGCGAAAGTCAAGCTGAATGACTTCCCTCGTTTCCCTGCTTCAGTGGGAGTTGTCTGCCCACAGGAAGTATCCCAGACGTAGTAAATGTACATGGCAATCTTCAACCCAAGGGTTCCTGGAAAGAAAGCCACACTCTTTAGTAATAAGCAAATGATTTCAGGGATTCTGGAGGCCCTTGGGTGCTTTTATTTGGGCAATGGCCGTTCATAGATTGTCCTGACCTTTTCTGAAGGCACACCCTTCTTAATGTTGTCTTTGTTTCCACTTCCTTCTCTTGGTCTCAGTTGTTTCACCTCTATGCAGAACTAGGAAAACGACGTTATTTTGTTTCCTCCATTGGTGGGATCACTGGGATTATTTTTTGCAAGTGCTGGGCAGTGGCCCTCAGTGCCCCATGATGACCATTTTTGGAGTGGTGGACACTGTCCATAAGGACAGCAGAACACAATCTGGTGTCTCAGTACAGGAGCTCCTCTGTAATGCTCCAGGCCTGAGTCCCACCCGTAGTGGCATGTGGGCACCTGTCCAACCGTTTAATTCAGTGCCCTTCACCCCAGTTAGCTCCCTCCTTCCAAAGAGAAGTTGTCTGTTTTAGAGAGGAATTTCAGTTGAATCCTAATTTTTTTGACAGTGGCTGAATTGGTCCATTATGTTCAATCTTTTTTTTAAAAACCCTGCTATTTTAATCACGTGAACTGAAAAGCTGCTATGTGAATTTCAATGTGAGCCTTTCACTAGGAGCCTTGCCTTTTGGTATTATCTGGCTGGCTAGGATTTCAGCACTCCCCCCATTCATATACTTTTTGAAGAGAGCTGAAGAATCATTTCATTATTAAACGTGCAAACGGGTGACAGATGTAAACTCTAAGTTATATATTTTTTTGTTTTATTTGTCTCTTCATGAAGAAAGAGAAACCCCACTTTTTCTTCCATTTGAGGTGCTCAAGCCTGCTTAATTCTGCCAATTCAAGGAATGTGCCCAGGCACAGCTAGTTGATACCATCAGGGAGAATGTTAAATTCTATAGGCTGTTGGGGCTCCTCTTGCCCTGGAGCCTTGTTCACACTACCCAAACCCATAAAACACAATTACCTTCAGAATCACTGAGTGACTCCCATCCTTGGTGACCTGTTCACCTGTTTGGCATATTCATAAAGGTCTAAATACTCCTTGCCTCCCTATGTGTATTCAACCTTTTCTCTCGGGCCTTGGACTTAGATATGTATTGTTTGATCCCAGCTGTCAGGAATGTCTAGGTGTTACTCCTTTATACATTTTTTTTTCTTTGCTGAAATCTTCCATAGGACATGAGCTTCATTTAACTAATATATAGATACAACTTTTTCATGCTGAGGCCCTAAGCTAGATGTTGGGGTTTATATTCCACGGGTGTGTGGTAGCTGGGATAGACATTGAGATAGTAATTACAGGCACAAAGTGAACATGGAAGTGTAAGCAAGGGGTTTGCCCAGCTCTGCCTCTCCCGCCCTCTCAGTAGGAGGGTGAGCAGGAATACAGCATAGTTTACAGAGTGCTGGATGAGTCATGGAAGGTCCGAGCTCTGGGTTCCAATCCTGACTCTACTGTGTACCTTCAGGCAGTCGTTTAACCTCCTTGAACCACAAGACTTTTGTTTGTGAGTAGGAATACTATCTGGCCCTCTAGCCTGGTGGAGGACCAGGTGATGAGGCCAGGGGAGTACTATGGGTGTGAGAACCATGAAAACTGTAAAGCATGGTGTAAGTGAACACACCATGTTCAGATGAGCTACTTAATTGAAGTTTGAAGCTGGTCTCTGGCTCCTGTTCAAGCACCAATGCTGGCTTTGAGGAGGTGACACTTTCCTGGCAAGCCACTTACCCTTTCCATGGATTTTATCAAGCTGGAAAGAGAGCAGCCCACAGCAGCAAAGACCAGAACCTGGCACTGTGGAAGTGCCATGGCTATGGGAACAGGGCTCCCTCTTTGCTTCTAGCAGGGGTGTCCATTCTTAGTCTGTTCCTTGATTGGATGCTGCTCAGTTACACCTGGCAAAATAACGCAGGTATGAGCACTGTGGGTAATATCTTTTACCTTTACGTCTGGGCAGCTCGAAGAACCGAGGCTTTTTTATCTAAGTTATTCAGCGTAACCTTTTCTTTACTCAACACGAGCCTTGACAGTCAACTATCCTGCAAACAGCATTCAAGAGTTAATTCTTTCAAGGCTGTAAATATTGTAACTCTTGGGCAGCTTTCCAAAAGTGTTGGTATGTTAGTACATTTTATTTAAAAAAAAAAAACAGCAAAAACAAAAACCCTAACCTATTCCCAGGGAACGGTTTATAAATAGTCTTTGTAAGAATAACAAATATGAAGAAGGCTCCATGAAAACCCGTCATTCTAGATTGTAGAATGAGCCAGTGTCTAAGCCATCATTCCCAAATGGCTTGGGGTTTGTGGACCTTGTGCTCCTTTTCACCGAATAAAGGCAGATGCCAGGCTGGAGAGAATGCTCAGCTGGTAAAGTGCTTAAAGGACTTGAGTTCAGTTCCCAGAAAAAGAGTAAAAGAAGCAGGCTTGGTGGCTTGTGCCTACTGTTCCAGCCCTGGAGAGGGAGAACCAGGCAGATCCTTAGGACTTGCTGGCCAGCCAGCCTAGTTCAGTTGGCAAGCCCTAAGTGACTGAAAGACCCTGGCTCAGAAAACAAGGTAGCTGACTGCTCAGGAACTTTCACTTTAAGTTTTCCTCTGATATAAACATACATGGGCATAGATATGTAAACACACTTGCACACACACACACACACACACACACACACACACACACACACACACCAGACACTATTTCTGTCTGGATGGACAGGCTTTTTCCTTCAGGATGTAAACTCTAGAGGAAACTGATCTAGATACAAGAGGGTGGAGTTTAGCATATATTCTCCCTGTAGTTTCAAACCGTATTTCAGTTAAAGTCTCCGACAAGTGTCCGTATCTTTTACCTTTAACAGCAGGAATGGACAAATGGCAGGTATCTCCAGGGAATTTGGAAGAAGGGCTGGGTAAAGTCACTCAGACAGTTTGCTGCTTGCAGAGAGATTTGAAAACTGTCTTAGTGGTATTAGTACATCCAGGAAGGACTACTGTGGGGTGCAAAAGCGCTGAAGACCTGTAGGTGGGCTGACAGCCGGATGTTCTGTGCCATCTACCTATGGCCATGAGGTAGCTAAGTTTCTTGTGTGATATCTTCAACCTCAGAAGAAACTGTGTACATTTTTGTATTTCAGGTTGTTATTTAAAAAAAAAAATCACATCTCAATCTTTTGTAGTTCTCAGTTATTAAGAACATATGAACTTAAGCAAAGCCTGACCTCAAACAGTGAACCTAACTCCTTATATCAGAAAGCTTGATTTCTTAATCATCCATTTTTAGTGTTTTTCCAAAAGTAGGTAAAGTGCCAGAACTTTAACACATACCTGATGAAGTGTTAAATTACAGGATCAAATTACCAATCTCTGTGATGCGTCTTAGTATAACGGCAGTGAGGGATCTAACTTTGGAATGTAACCCAGACGTTATCTCCCTGTTCTGTTCTCCGTCCTGTCCAGCTTTTCTGTCACTTACTTGTTTCCTCAGTCCTTTAACATTTATTTGTTAGAACACAGAGTGTATGCTGTCTGTACTCATCCCCCACGATGCTCGCTTACAGTGGTTTTCCCTTGCGTCCTCTATTTTGACTTACATCATTTCACTTTGCTGTGTATGACACATGGCACCTCACCTATCCATGTGCCATTAAAGATGCAGTATTAACCAGTTGGCTTTTATAAAGTGTCGATATCTGCATTTATTTTGAAAACCTTAGGGCAGCCTTGCAAATAAATACTAAAACTGTCCCAGTCCATAAAAACCGTTTGCTTTATCCTGACATAGATGCTGAATGTTTGGTGTGCTCACCAGTTGATGTGCTTACAGTTATTATTATTTTTTTCTTTTTTATGGCAAGAGGAAATAAGGACTTTGTTTTCTCTAATGCTGAAATGATCAAGAATACCAATCTGCCCGTATTTAGCTGTGTGGTGCTGGGTCGCAGTATGGTGCTGAGTCCTCCATGTCCAGTCCATCTGCCTCTGCTTTTGGACTGAAAACAAACACCTCACTGCTCCCTGCCTCAGTTTCTTTGTTTTCCTGGTGTCAGTAAAACTGGACAGTCCCTGCTGTTGAAGCAGGCGCTGTGTAACGCGGAGCCGCTGCATCTCTACTGGCCTGTTCCTGTGTAATCTTTTACATAATGTTATCCTTCTCTTTCTTCCATTCCCTGTCACCAACCCTTATAGAGTCGGGATATAAGCCCAGAAGAGATAGATTTAAAGAATGAACCTTGGTATAAATTCTTTTCGGAATTGGAGTTTGGGAGACCGGTAAGTGTGATAGCTTCAGTGGTTATACACCTTGTGAAATGATGCTGTCGGTGCCTTGCTGCTGCTGCAGAATCAGGTCTGTGTGAGGGATTCAGTAGCGGGAGCAGCTGTGATAACTGTCAATAGTCAGATTGTGCTATCTCCCTACAGCCGTAGGTTTTCCTCCATTTGCCAAGAGGGGACAGTGATCTCTGAGGGACACCTTCCTAGAACATCCAGAGAGTGTGACCAGGGCATCATTTGTCCTACAATCCCTCTCTGCCACCCTCAACAAGTATCACATACCTGGTGGGTGGTATTTTTTTTTTCTGCCACACAGTCACTATTTTAACCAGTCATTAAGGTATATGAAGACAGGTGGGGAAATGTGTCACTGGGAAGGGCAGGGTTACAGTGCCTCATATTTTTTAAAGCATGCATTCAAGGCACGGAAGACAAAAAAGCTGCTTCACTGTGCAGATATAACCCCAGTTCTGCTCAGTTAAAGGCATCTTGTAAGGAATGATTTTTTTTTTTTTCTGAGTTGGGCTAGTATTGTTTGGAAGGGAGGGTAGAACTCAGAAAATTTAGTGTTCAGCAGCTTCCCTGAGGTATTTCTGAATTTTCTTCGGGGGTTGGAGTGGTTGTTTAGTCCTATGCCCAGACAAGTTTCAAACAGGACAATCTGAACTAGTCCTTCCATTGGAGGTGATACACTTTAAACATGTAGTTACTTTACACTCTCATGGTGATAGACTTGAAAACTGTAGTTACTTTGAATTCCCGATTATAACTGCAAAAGGAATTTATAGATGGAAGAATTATACCTAGAAAAATAAACATTAGACATGAGTATGAGACTTTAACCAATGCTCTGAGTCTCGGATGGTGGTTTTATCTGCAGATAGGAACTGATTTTATAGTTCATTGAAATGTTAAGTTCCATGCTGTGTAGTTTTCATTAAGATGAAGACAGGCAATTCAGAATGGCACTTTGGAATTGCTGATTTGGCTTAAAGATGCTGAGCTTGAAAGTTAGGAGTGCCCAGCTGCCAGCATTCTATGTGTAGGAACAGGTATTTCTCCTTTCTGGGCCCTTCTGGATGCAATCATTGCTCCTCTTCCCTTTAATCTGTTGTTGATGAGCGCCACCTAGGGGCAGTAGAGAGAAAGTCTCTAGCCCAACTATACTCATCTCTCTCCTCCCCAGAGCACAGTGCACAACTCCTTTCTTCTCCTTTCTCTCTCCCCTTTTTTTGCCGTTCACTATTTAGACACCAAATTTAATACACAGACTTTTCACATGCAATAGAGTGAACAGTATCCTAATCCTTTTCCTTAAGACCTGCTCAATTATTGAACATGTATTTATTTATGTGTGGTCCTCTCTGAAGCACTGATTGCTGTGTGCAGCAGTGATAATGTATTATCCTCATGGAAAGCAGGAGATACTCATTTTCAGTTCCCTTCTCAAGAATCCATGCCAGTGATTTTTGAAATCCATTTCAGGGTCTGCAGATTGCTAACTATCCCCTTGTCTATTAAGTAACTAGTAACTCATCTATTAAGTAACCAGTTTAATCTAAAATACTAAGTTTTTGCAAAAGTTAGGGTACCTTCTTTACTAGCTTATTACTAGTGACACGTTTTCATAAATCTATCATTGCAAACAAGTTTCGTTGATATTAGACAATACTTGAGAATCCCAGCCTTTAGTAAACAGGTCCTGAGAATAGTTTGGAAAATTAAGAGATTTGCCAAAAACTGTAACTCACCTATGTAAACATGGAAGACACAGGCCATTTGTCAAACAATTCTTTCTCTTGGGGATTCCTTTTTGCATAGCCTTAACTTTTGAAGATTTGTCAAAAGAACAGGGGGCACATCTCAAGGAACCTCAGTGGAAGAACATTTACGTATGGGGACATTTACATATGTCCCCAGGGTGGGCTTGTTATCTAGTTGAATCAACAGAGTTTAGGAAGGAGGTGGGAGAGTGAGGTTCCCTTCTCTCCTATTCTAATTACAATGGGCCAAAGAGTGCACTGCTGTGGCAAAGCCTTAAGCTGTGGCAGAATGTTTGGAAGATATGTAGCCATTCTGGAGTCGGCCAATCACACGTGACACAGGTTGTCGTTGATACTTTGTTTCTGTTGTTCTTACACCAATTTAGGGCTTTTACTCCTAGTAAACAAACCCCGTAGAATACTAATAGTTGGTACTAATAGTTGCTGAGCTCTTTTTTCTCACTGAGCCTCCTCTTATAAAGCTACTCAAAAAGAACAGAAAATTTGCAACAAGATCCTGATTGGTGACCTCAGTAAGTCACCATGAAATAGCAATAAGTTAAGGCATCAGGGACCATTGGGGGCGGGGTGATTATTTGAAGCAAATTTAATTTGCAAGAAATTAAATTTTGGAACAAGGGGACCCACCTTTTACGCTCCCCTTCCCTCCAGTTTCTACAGAAATTGATTTGTTGTCTAGTCACAAACTCAAGGCAATGTTTCTCAATAATAATCCCTCGACTGTTTCTATAGAGTTAAGGAACATGAAACTTGCATGCAATCTACCTGCAGTGCTTTTAATGATCTCCTGTGTCTGATCTCCCTGGAGGTCATAATATGGTAGATCTCAGGTGTATACAGTCACAGTCAGAGAATCCACTCGTGAGAGAGAGAAGTTGAAAGTTAGAAGTTTCTGGAAGTTTGCTTAGCTCTCACTCCACACACACCCTTGTTAAGTCTTCAGCATTCTCCTGGCAGATTTCCAGCTCTCTTGATTGTCTATGAAGGGGTAAGGAACATACATGGTGACCTCCGATCTGCTAGGGGGTGGAACATGCCTCTAGTGTTAGTGGCATTACCTAACTCTACTTACATTACGAAAGGCCAGTTTAGCAGAAAGTATGAAATGCTCACACGCACTATTTGAATTCCACTCTGGATGCCATTGAATCCTACTCTGGATGCTGCTGCTACAAACCAGAGGGTCACTTTTCAACGTTAGCCTCTATTGGCCAAGCTTACAGATTTATGCATTTATTAGCATGCAATGAATTTTTTTCTATAGTAGGAAAGACTATTTTAAGAATGTGAAAATCTCCAGGGTCAGTCTTTGTTTGAAGAGAACAAGAAAGAATTAGAGTTTCTAATTTGTTTAAATTCGTTATTGATGCGTTTCCCCCCTTTTAATTTAAAATTTAGTATTGAGAATCTATGGTTGATTTACTCTTGAAACTTATACTTCTAGCTAGTGATCTCAGGTCCCCCTGGGGCAGACAGCTTTGTGTCCTCAGCCAGGATCCCAGTCCTTTGCTTTGAGTTCACCTTTCTGTGTTGGTCCGGCTCCTCGCGCGCCCCTCTTTGTTTGATCCCCCATGTTTGTCTTTATGTCTTTATGCTCATTTCTTCATTTCCTCCTCTGCTTCCCGTCAGCCTCCCAAAAAGATATGGGACTATACTCCTGGAGACTGCTCTATCCTTCCTAGAGAGGATAGAAAGGTAATTCCGTGCCTCCTCCTCGGACTGTGTGCTAGATCTCTAGCTTTGGGTGCCGTGAGTGTGTTGTGGGTTTGTGTTCTTTTCTTAAATTTTTTTTTTAAACTTAGTAACTTGTTTGGCCTGGTGATAAAACTATTTAATAAAGTCCGTGAGACATATACTAATGTTTAGAGGTTTGTTTGTTTTGCTTTAAAACAACTCTTGTCATGGTCACTATACTCTGACACAGAGGAAGCAGCCCTTTCCTCACAGGTAGGTTTTTGTGGCATTTGTAGTTCTCATTAGATGTAGAATAGATGTCTGAAGCTCTGTTACTCAGGATTTCCTTGAACCTGCCTAATGTTGCTCTTTCTGTGTTTACATCTTTAAACTAATTTCTAGTGAGCCCTTGTGATTAAGTCAGGCCACCATGACCCTATTAAAATATGACACTAAAAACAAATTCATTTTTCAAACTTAACCCTCCATTCCTTCTTCTTTTCTCTAGACTAAAACATTCTTTCTCATCTTTTCTTTCTCGAACCAGACTAATCTAGAAAAAGATCTCAGCTTCTGCCAAGCAGAGTTAGAGGCAGATTTAGAGAAAGTGGAGACGGTTAATAAATCACCCAGTGCAAACTCGCCACAGGTATTTCCAGTTTTTCTCTTGCTGTCGGTTCCTTCTCATGCTCTGCTTTGTTTTCTTCTTTGTTCTTCGGTTTTTATGTTGTGGAGATGACAGAGGGTGATGCTGCTAGCATTAAGATGCACCGCTTTCTGTTTATATACACATACACCATACACACACACACCCCCACACCACTGGGTCAGTTTTTTGTTTGAAACCCTTTGGAACTTGCCATATTCCTTAAAGTGTCTTTCAAATAAACACAGGATGGTTGATGATTTGAATTCTCCCCTACCCACCATGCCCCGTATTTTTTTCTTTGATGACCTTTTAAAAGTTCTTTCCTTTGCCTTCTTTGAATTTCCAGAGTGCTATTTGGGGAGCAATTTTTTTTTTTATCTTTTTTTTTGTCACCCTGGGAGATGCCAGCCTCAGAGGTCATGTTGATAGACACAGCAGTAGTAACTGGGCTAAGGCATTGTCAGAGCAATGGCATTTGTCATCATAAAGGTCAGCAAGTTCACAACAGAAAGCACTCTAGATATCAAGCAGCCTGGATACGAGCATTTGAAACTGGGCCTGTGTTAAAATGTATGTGTTTAAAAGGTAGGAAGGGGAAAGGGAGAGCCAGTCCAAGGTAAACAGGCTTCTCGGAGAAGCTGAGTGTTTGCTGAAGTGTGCTCTGGGTTCCCTGACAAAACTGAAGAGATTCTAATGAGGGAAGAATGACTTTATGTGGACATTGCTATGGTGGCCAGGAAGGGCCACAAACTGTGGGAGGATGTGTGTACTTGATAATGGATCTGTGCTTGATGTAAACAGTATTGAGGCCACTGGTGCAGGGCTAGCGACCCAAACCCAGGAGAGGGCAGAGCAAACAGGGTTTGATGGTAGCCTCCTTGCGGGTCTGGGATAAAAGAGTGGGAAGCCATGGAGCTGTGGTAGTCATGGCTGCCTCCTTGGTACATAGAACTTCAAATGGATGAAGAAGACAGCAGTGGGCAGGCCCTTCTCCCTCAGACCTGAAAAGAGACAAAGAGGTAAATTGTCACGCATCCAGGTGGAGTGGAGGAAGGTAGAGTGGGATTCTGAGTTTCTAACCAGGATGAGACTGTACTGAGACCTGATAAAACCACTGTAGGATTGAAGATTCGAGGAAGAAACTTTCCCAGCCTGTTCTGGAATGAGTTATGGCTGTGGATCTGTCCTAATAACAATGACCGACACGCAGGGTGAGAAGTCTCATAACAGGCTGGCCAGAATGAATCAAGAGATGCTTTCATGGTGGACAAACATCTGCAGCTCATGCAGAGATGCCGGCTCAGCCAGAGTTGACAGCTCCTTACTTCTGTTAGGGCCCAGACCCTGTCAGGGACGCCATAGCACAAGGAAGTGCCTGATGCATCGACAGTCCATTCTCTTTGATTGTTTGTGAGGCATGTTCACAGTAGTTACACACACACACACACACACACACACACACACACGAGACTGCCTTCAGGATGTGACCATTGGCGTCCATACTTACTAGGAATATTTATTTTGAGGCACTAGGGAAACATAGAAAGAGTATACATGTTTAGAAATCTTGGTTGGGAATGGTAGAATGGGAAGGTTTGGGAAAGACTGTAGACTCAGGAGTGTGACTAAGAAAATGTTGGGTTTCCTTCAGACTGCTGATGAGAGAGAGAGAGAGAGAGAGAGAGAGAGAGAGAGAGAGAGAGCCATTTCCCTAGAGAAGTTGAATTGAAGGTAGAAGATATGTCAGAGGGCGAGGGCCACTGCAGTAGTCTAAGTAGACCATGGCGGGAGTCCACACTGTAGAAGCGCCAACAAAGAGAAGGGGAAGGAGAGGCTGCCCAGCGAGTTTCAGTGGGGTAGCCTAAGTAGTTGGTGTGAGGAATGATTGATGAGCTGGGGAAAGGAAAAGCTGTGACCTTAGGGTTTGAGCAGACAGCTAGACGGTTAAGGGTATTAGTAAGGTTGAAGGAAACTAGAAAGAGACTTGCTGTAGAGATAAAGTCATGGAATCGGTTTCAGGTATTTGGCTCCTTGGATCAGGTAAGGATATCGAGAAGACAATAGAGACTGTAAGACTAGATCTTAGGAAGCAGGCAACTGCTTTAAAAATCTCAGAGTTGCCTACAGGGAGGTGATTGTGGAGGACTTGGGAGTCAGTAAAGACATGTGGTAGCAAGTAAAGGACTGAGATAGGTAGGGACCAACAGCTGTCCATCCACTAGGATGCTGGACGGCATTAACAAGACAAGAAGCAGCACAGGAAGGATGACAGTTCAGAGAGCTGGAGGAACACATGATAGAGCAAGAGGAGAAAGGCAGAATAACCTAGCTACTTCAGGAGATCTGAAGAAAGAGATTTGGGGGATGTCAGGGTGCCTCAGTGAGTGACACTGCTTGCTGTATAACTGTGACCACCCCAGTCCCATCCCTGGAACCAGATGGAGTATCTGGAAAGAGAAATGACAAAGTTGTCCTCTGGCCTCCACATGACACCACAACACACATACTTTACCCCACACCATAGTAAGCGAATATATAGTTTAAAAAAGATAAAATCCTAGAGTAGGTCCATGAAATGGATTATAGAAATTTATACTGACCTTGGTTTCTGGGCATTAGAGTTTGTGAAAAGGAATCAGCAAGTCCTTCAGGGATGTGGCATTATTGAGGACCTTAGGAAAGAGGGAAGGAGAAGACAGGAAGGGATGGTGAGGACCCCAGAAGGAGTTTTCAATGATGGAGATGCTGGCAAGCTCTTCAATAGTAGAATTCCAGAATGGGGGAAATGCCGAAAGGTAGGAGCCTCGTGACGGGAGGTAGGCAGCTGATACCAGTATAGCCAGAAGGGCTAGAGGAGGATGAGAGGAACGAGCGGAGCCTGTCTAAGAAGCAATGGCTTTGGGCCAAAAGGAGGGCACCCCTCATCCTGAGACAGCAGGGCCTCTTAGGAGATGGACCCAGAATGTTAGAGCTGGGTATATCTGCAAGGCGCAGGCTGAGTGAGGAGCCACCAGCGAAGCCACCTCCCCTCCCTGTCACCTCCGCTTCCCTAATCCAACAGCCTCCTCCTCCACTTTCCGTTTCTTTCCTTTTCCTAAATGTCTCTTCTCCAGGTAGTTGGTTCTCCTTACAATGGTTACTAATAGAGATGATAGTCATTATCAAATAGGAATATCTGTGAAAGTTAACTCCACATTGATTTACTTAACACAAATACATTGAACCCTCGACACTTTTTTCTCCAATACAAAAGAACCTCTGAATTGTGTGATTGCATTGCTTTCCATCTCCAGCAGCCCTGGGTTGATTCTTCCTTTTGTTAGTAGCCTGCCATTTCATGAAGCATCTCCCAACCTGTACTGACAGTGTGGTTAGTGCATTCTGTGAAATCGTGTCTAATTTTACACTTCTCAGTGCACAGGCATAAATGAACTGTGTAAATATGGTGTGGTCATCTTAAAATGCTTTTTAGAACTTAGTCTCTCCCTAGTATTGTGTGCTGCTCTAGGATGTGGCATTTGTGGTGCATGAAAGGAGCTACAGTGACCTCAGCAGAGTGTCTGAGGATTGGGCAAGATAGGTGAATGGGCTTCTGCTCCCTGGGGTTGCAGATGAGGAGAAGTGTGAGCTGAAGTCCACCTCCAGGCTCACTGATGCTTGTGGCTGCATCTCATGTGAGGCAAAAGGTGAGAACCTAGGACCCCTGAATCTTTGTGTCCAAGCCTCTTGTCCCCCAGAGGCACTGTCTACATGACCAAACTGAAGTGGCCTGTCTTCTTCCCCTTGCTTTGCAACCTGTGAATTAACACCAATCTTTGTATTATTTTATTTTCTTTTTACATTGTTCTTTCTTTTTGACTTTTACAGAGCTCAGCAGTCAGCCCGACTCCAGACATTACATCAGAGCCTCCAGGATAGTAAGTAACCACTCCTATGTTTTTATGGCTCAACCTATCAAGGGCTAGACAAGGGTGAGAACAGATGGTGGTTTGGACCCTGGTCTGTGTCTGTCTTATGATGTCCCCTGGTAGGCAGCAAAGGTTTTGGCCCTGGGGAGGGCTCATAGCAGTGGGCTGTCACATGGTTTGGACTTTGTCTTCCAGTAGTTTGATGGTATTATAGTTTTCAAATCAGTTTTCTTTGGTTCTCTCCTCTTTCTCCGAATTAATTTTACAGAGATTCATGTTACATTTGATAGCTTTACCCCAGGTTGATGTCTTTATCTTTGAAATGTGAATTTATTTGTCTGGATTTATTTTAATTTTCTGTTCTGTGCACATTTATGTGTGGGTATACGTCTGTGAGTTGTGGAGTAACTGATAGTAGGGGCACAGGGATGGGTTCATTTTCTCTGACAATGGATTAAAAGGCAAGAAATGGAAAAAAAATGGAAATCTTGGGTATCCTAGCAGAACTACCATATGATACCTTGGAAATTAGGGTCCCTTCTTGGTTCCCAATTTCATTAATAAAAGAGTTTAAGAATGGATATACCTATAGAAGTTTGAGGGGGCTGGAGAGATGGCTCAGTGTTTAAGAGCACTGACTGCTCTTCCAGAGGTCCTGAGTTCAATTCTCAGCAACTGCATGGTGGCTCGCAAGCATCTGTAATGGGATCCTATGCCCTCTTCTGGTGTGTCTGAAAACAGCTACAGCATATTCATATAAATAAAAGAAATCTTTAAAAACAAACAAACAAACAAACAAACCTATAGAAGTTTGAGGCCTGCTTTTTAGAACATAAAAGGAGAACCGGGGCCAGGCAGGCTGTCAGTCTCTAGCTGCTGGAGGGAGAAAGAGAGAGAAGGAATAAAGGTCACGCTGCTGGAGAGAGGCAATCACAGGTCAGCCCCATGAGAGCAGGCAGCCTGCGGCCAGCGCAGGAGCTTTTAAAAAATGAGGAAGTTAGAGAGTTTAAGTTAGTTAGGGAGTTCTGACCAGCAGCTGAAAAAAAAAAATACAGAAAAGAAGGAAAAAAAATTCCTACCCATCTTGCCTCAGGATTGCTTGGTGTTAACCATTGTTGCCTGGCTTTCCCTCTGACTCTTCATCTCTTCTCCCAGAACTGCCCAGAGAGGTCTGCCTTACTGCCTGAGTGGCCAGCACAGCAAATTTCTTAGATCTGCTCCTTATCACAGTAGGAATTTTGGTACGGTCCCTTGACTGTCTTGGGGATCCTCTCACCTCCACAAAATGAGTAAATGAAAGACAAAGTGGCAGAGGAATGAAGTATATGTAAGGGTTAAAAGTATTTGGAAGAGTAGATCACAACCGTGGTGATCCATTAGGGTTAAGAGCACATCTCAAATGACATACTTTTAAGTTTATTGAGCACTTACTGTATACTAGGTCCTCTTTACATTTTTTTTCCTCTGAGCTTCCCAGGTGCAGGTATAACCATCAGCCCCAGTGTACACGTGAAGAAATGGACACACTAGCATAGAGTTCTGCCCACAGTCCCATAGCTGATGTGTGAGTGCTCTACCCAGAGTTGGAGCAGTGCCACTCTGGGCCAGGTGCCCATAGTAGCACCTCATCTAAACTATACTGATTCAAGCTTAGTAATAATGTAACTGAAAGCATAATAAAGCCAATTTTGAGCTGTTGGATACAATGTAAGCCAGTCTTTGCAGTAGTAGCATCTTGAGTCACTATCACAGTGTATGTCTGGTTGAATGTTTTATTCTCCAGCTGTCTCTAGACTTTTAAGTTTGTAATTTTCATCTAACCACCGTTTATCATTTCCGCATATTAAAGCTGTTTTCACCTAACCAAGAGAGCTTTACTCTGTTCTGCCAGCAGGTGGCACTCAAGGAAAAGCTGCTCTTTCTGAACCCACAGAGAGTAGTTTCCTTAGTCTCAGAACAAAACACAACCTGAAGAAGTATATAAAACATGGGAGATTCCCCAGCCCCGTAAAAATATACCACAAGTCTGTGTGCATGTAGGCGTTTGGATTTAAGATCCTTTATTCCACCAGCTTTTGTTTAACAACGTTACCGGGCACCAGGCTTAGGAAGATTAACCAACAACCTGCTGAATTCACTGTAGAATGTGAAGCAGATTTGTTAGTGGTAACTTGAATCCAGTGTGGCATACATGAAAGGTACCCTGTCCACTGCCCCTGGACCTCTTTGTTAGCACACATGGAAGGTACCCTGTCCAAAGCCTCAGACCTCTGTTAGCATACATGGAAGCAGCTGATCTCAGAGTGATCTCTGACTTTATCCTTCCAGTGAGTGTGATTTTGTTGAAACCTCTTAAAACCCCTTGGCCAGCTCTGCTTCTCACAGAGGTTCAGTTCTCTGCCCTGTGTCCCGGCTAGCTCAGTCTGACCCAAATCCGACTCAACACAAACTTCTCAGAGCTGAGCTTCTGACTTGACTGGTTTTGTTTCATGTCAGTGGCTGCTAATTCTGGTTGTATCTCAGTCACTCAGCCAAGGAGCTGATGTGACTTCTCTCAGTTCTGATCTTTTTAGATTTAGCAACTCTGTGCCCTTAAGCAAAGGCAGTCTCCACTCTGGTCCTCAGTTTCCTCTTTGGAGCAGTGGAACAAATGAGCCGTCCTTAGGGGAGCTGTTGGAGACCGTGTCTTTAAAAACATGCTGAAGCTCTCAGATACTGCTCTTAAATAAGTGCCTCAGTGTACCTCAAGCATCTGGGAAAAACATTTTTTTGTCAGCTTTGGTATCAGAAAGAAAACATTTGGCTGTAGCAACTGCATTCCCAGGTTTCCTGAGTGCTGGCTTGCGGATCTGTGGGAAGCAGGAAGAAATGGGAGGGGCACAGATCAGGCTGGCTGGGTGGGGAGTGCTGAGGGCTGCTGAGGTAGGTGAGGCCAGGCAGCTATGAGTGACTAAAGGTGGGCCAAGCTCTGACTGAGGCTGAAGGGATTCAGAACACACAGGTGGCAGGTGGAAGTTGTCCAAGTTACCCACACCAAGGGCCAGCCTCACACCCAAGTCCTCAGTCCCCTTAGCTGGGGGCTGACAAAGGACAGTTACATGTGGGGGTTACAGTTTGCAGTTACAGTTATAGTTTGCAGTTGGGGGTTGTACAAAAGGGAGAAAATAGAGTGTTACGCTGATGTTTAATTAGGAAACCCAAAGTTTAAAAGCCAGTTTAGATGAACATGCACCCTTTTGAAACTGGTACCTATAGAACTACCTTCTGGGTTCACCATTTTTAATAGGAGCTGTTTTTTTTTTTCATCAGAATCTTGGAGTGAGAGGGTGGAGTGTTTATGAGCGTACACTGTCGCCCAAAAGCCTAAGGCCTGACCCCTGAGCCTAGGAAAGCCAAATCCTCCTTTTCTCTGGAGCTATGGATGGTCCCTCCAGGCACATTGGAATGAATAGGAGTCAGGATCTCTAAATGAACTTTTTTTTTTAAAAAAAAAAAAGAATTTCTAAATTCATGGTTTTACATATCGAGACATATCATTAATCAGCACATATGCTAACTTTTATGTTTAGAAAATGTAGCCTTTTATTCCTTCAGAACATTCACTGGGTGTCCTCCTGTGTGGTATAGTCCATGGGCTCTTAGAAATCAAGGCAAAGCCTTAGGAAATAGTCCAGCCTGATTCTCTGAGTTTTCTCCAAGTAAAAGGTGAACCCAGAAGGCTGCTTGGCACTTCCTTTGTTTGCATGTTTCTCAGCCTTGAGATGTGGTTTTCTCATTCTTTAGGTTCCAGTGACTTTTTTGTTTGTTTGTTTGTTTCAGCTGAGAAAGGAAACTTTCTTTCATCCATGTTATATAGAGTAAGAGGGAACTATAGCCTCAGGGTGGTCCCCTGAAATAATTCTTGCAGAGCCCTTAGCCCATGGTGAACATGAGGTAGTGTTAGTGAATGGTGGCAGCTATGAGGGCTGTTACTAGTGCTGGGGGCACCTATCGACTGAACAGTGGGGATAGATTGTACTGTGTCTTGGCAGGGCGTCCTTTCTTCTTTGATTCCTGGGTTCTGGAACCTCTTGCTCCTAGAGTGGAGTCCTGACAGATGATGCTTGGTGGTCTCTGTCATGAAGTTCAAATATCCTTGACTCCTGCACCATGTGAACCAGTGCCTCATTGGCCAAAGGAAGTGCCAAGCAGTCATCTGTATTCCAAGACACCATCAGAGAATATGGCATCTAGTGTAACTGTGGTTCTGGCTCTGCAATCTGCTGATCCTGCCTGCTTTGACAGGCTATTTAATCTATCAGTGCTTTATTTTTTTTATCTGAAAACTGACAAAAGTGTGTGTGTGTGTGTGAGAGAGAGAGAGAGAGAATGACCAACAGGTACTTAGCACAACGCCTTTTATATCATAAGGATTTTTTTTCCATTGTTGTCTGTAATTATGGGAACTCAGAGGCTGAGGTTTTATACAAAATAAAGGGCTGGGTTTGTGGAATATCAGTGTGTAGACAAGAAGACAGATGGCTATATATGTGATATGAAAGTACCATTCAGTGTTCCCTGGAGAACCTAGGTGTGGCTGATGTGAGTGGCCACTCTTGCCAGTCTTTAAACTTTCCTATATATTTGATGATACAGTAAGTACTGGGGGGTAAATGGATTCCATGAGGTCATAGGTATTCAAAATTCAAATCTATGACAAAAAAACAGTAAACTGATTTCATTAGGATCGAAAGTGTATAGCAAGGCTGGAGAGATGTCTCAATGGTTAAGAGCACCAGCCACTCTTCCAGAGGTCCTGAGTTCAATTCTCAGCAACCACATGGTGACTCACAGCCATCTATAATGGAATCAGTCAGATGCCCTCTTCTGGTGTGTCTGGAGACAGCTACAATGTACTCATATAAATTAAATAAATAAATCTTTAAGAAAAGAAAAAAGGCCGGGTGGTGGTGGCGCACGCCTTTTAATCCCAGGACTTGGGAGGCAGAGGCAGGCGGATCTACATAGTTCGAGGCCAGCCTGGTCTATAGAGTGAGTTCCAGGACAGCCAGGGCTATACAGAGAAACCCTGTCTCGAAACCCACCCCCCCAAAAAAAAAGAAAAGAAAAAAGAGAAAAAGTGTATAGCAGAGCCTATATTCTTTTATGAGAAAGACATCTTGGGGAACGGGAGGTACATGGAGTAGAGGGAGGGGGAGAACGGGACAGAATATATATCATGTTAATGCTTCAGCAGGTTAGACCACAGAGAAGCAGGCATGTTCACTAATTAAATGAAAGGAATTTATAGTAACTTGGAAAATACCTAGATTTCAAAGAAGATAAAGTAAATAAATTAAGACCTAGAAAAATGGCTCAGTGGTTAGGAGTTCTTACTGTTCTTGCAGAGGACCCAGGCTGGTTTCTAGCAGCTCACAGCTGTCTGTAACTCCAGCTCCAGGGTATCTAGTACCCTCTTCTGGCCTCTGTGGGCACCCATGTGGTACATATTCAGGCATGTTCAAGCACACACTCATACATGTAAAATAAAAATAAAAATAAAACAGATCTTTAAAACCCTAAATGAAACAGGAGATGGAGAGATGGCTCAGCAGTTAAAAACCCTTGTAGCCTCTGCAGAGGACCCAAGTTCAGTTCCCAGCACCCAGATGATGGCTCACAGCCATTCATAACACAGGGTCCTGAAGATCCACTACCTTCTTCTAACCACTGTGGGCACCAGGCATACATACAGTGCACATACATACATGCAGGCAAAACCTTCATATACACATATAACATACATTTAAAAACAGAGTTCATACTTCAGAAGTAAGGGAAGCACGTGAGTGGACAGCAGTGGATGTGGGTGTTACACACTATCAGGCTCTGACAGCAGCTTTGAAGGAAGTGAATGTTGGGCACTGTGGTGCATACCACTTGCCGTAACTACTGAGAAGGCCGAGGCAGGACGACCCCCTCAAGCCAAAGGCTCAAAGCAAAACGATGCTTGTGATCAGGGCACATAGAGTTCCAAGTTCTGATTTTCTCAGTTGCTGATTTTCTTGGAGGCCACAGATAGCTGTGGGCCTTCTTCTTTTTACTGGTGATTTTGATGTTTTTGTCAGCCAAAGTTCTTGCACAAAGTAATCCAGAAAAAAAAAACAATCTAGGCCACGTACTTGAACTGGCCGGCCACACTCGGAACTCTGCGTCCTGCATCTTTGTCCCTGATGTACCATCTTATATGTACCCACTGGGCTCCCCATTATCCTACCCACAGTTATTTGCTTGCTTGTTTGTTTTTAAAGCTAGGATCTCACTGTATAGTTCAGGGTGGCCCCAAACTTACGCTCTTCTCGCCTCAGCCCCCCAGGTGCTGGGATCACAGATTCTTACTTATTCTTTTAAAGCACAGATGCGCTCATTGCAATGTGGGTGTTTTCTTGTTTAGATCCTGTTTCTGTGGACCCAGGCATGGTGGCCTGCCTGTCTGCAGAAATCTATGTCTAAATCAGTGGTTCTCAACCTTCCTAATGCTGTGACACTTTAATACAGTTCATCATGTTGTGGTAACCTCTAACCATAAAATTATCTTTGTTGCTACCTCATAACTCTAATTTTGCTACTGTTATGAATCGTAATGTAAAAATAAATAAATAAATCAGTGTTTTCCAATGGTCTTACTTGGCCCCTGTGAAAGTGTCACTTGAACCTCAAAGGAGTTGTGACCCATAAGTTGGAGAGAACCACCAGTCTAAATGAACAAGCCCTGATCTTTCTCAGGGCTTTACCGGGAAACCAAAAGCAGTTCTCTTCTCCTTGGCTGGTGATAAACAGGTTTTTAAAAAGAATGTTAAACAAGCTAACTCTTTCTTTCTCTCCCTCCCCTTTTCTCTTTTAAAATTACCTTCTCCGTAGTATATATTCTTCCAACTTCCATGCAGTGAAGAGAGAATCAGATGGGACCCCCGGGGGTCTCGCTAGCTTGGAGAATGAGAGGCAGATTTATAAAAGTGTCTTGGAAGGTGGTGACATCCCTCTTCAGGGCCTGAGTGGGCTCAAGCGACCCTCCAGCTCAGCTTCCACTAAAGGTAACCGCCAAGCTGATGACTGCAGGCATGCCTCCTACATGCCTGTTACCTGAGTGTTGGCAGCGGGTGGACCTCCAGCCACAGGGACAGAGCTCTGCCTATCCAGGTCCATGTCCAGGCTTTGGAGCCACCTTGTGTCCCCTCACCTATTTTCTTGCCGGCCATTTTTCTTTCTGGTCTTAATGGTCCCTACCTTCAACCTTGCTCTCTCTAAAAACATCTCTCTCTCTTTTTGTTGTTCTACTATCCCTTTCCTAGAAGTTAGCTGAGCTTCAGCCTTTCTTAACTGGCAGGGTGGCCATTTCTTTCGTTGCATCTTTTGCACCTGCTTTGCAGCACAAATTATTTTGCTTCAAGACATCAGTTGGAGACTTTGAAAGCCCTTATGACAAATGAGCATGTTACCTCTCTTTTTCCCCCCCTTAAAAGCAGCTTTCAGCTTTAACCTAATGGGTGTGTTTATTTTATTCTGCATGCTTACCAGTGGATCGTAAAGGCGGGAATGCTCACATGATTTCTTCATCATCAGTTCATAGCCGAACGTTTCACACTAGCAATGCTTTAGGCCCTGGGTGTAAGCACAAGAAACCCCTGTCGGCTGCGAAAGCCTGCATTTCGGAGATCCTTCCTTCTAAATTCAAACCCAGGCTCTCTGCTCCCAGCGCTCTTTTGCAGGAACAGAAGAGTGTCCTGTTACCCTCAGAGAAGGCTCAGAGTTGTGAGAACCTTTGTGTTTCTTTGAATGATTCCAAAAGAGGCCTCCCACTCCGGGTTGGGGGGAGCATCGAGAACCTGCTCATGCGCTCCCGGCGGGATTACGACAGCAAGTCCAGTAGCACCATGAGCCTACAGGAGTATGGCACCAGCTCCAGGAGGCCCTGCCCTCTCTCCAGAAAGGCTGGACTGCATTTCTCCATGTTTTACCGGGACATGCACCAGATCAACCGAGCTGGCCTCTCCTTAGGCTCCATCTCCTCCTCAAGTGTGCGGGATCTTGCCTCCCACTTTGAAAAGAGCAGCCTGTCGTTAGCCAGGGGCGAGCTGGGTGCTAGCCAAGAGGGCTCAGATCATATCCCCAAACACACCGTGTCCTCCCGTATCACAGCCTTTGAGCAGCTCATTCAGCGGTCCCGGTCCATGCCATCCCTGGACTTCTCTGGCAGGCTGAGCAAGTCCCCGACACCTGTGCTCTCTAGAAGCGGCCTGACCTCAGCTCGTTCAGCGGAATCCCTCCTTGAGTCTACCAAGCTCCGTCCCAGAGAAATGGACGGGATGGACTCCGGAGGGGTCTATGCGTCCCCCACATGTAGCAATATGGCGGACCATGCCTTGAGCTTCCGGAGCCTTGTGCCTTCTGAGCCTCTTTCCATCTGCTCAGATGAGCTAGACCACTGCTCAAACGTGTCTAATGACAGCAGGGAGGGCAGTGGGGGCAGTGTTCATGGAGACTTCCCCAAACATCGCCTCAACAAATGCAAGGGTACCTGCCCTGCTTCGTACACTCGCTTCACCACTATCCGGAAGCATGAGCAGCAGTCCTCCAGGCAGCCTGACTGGCGCTCCGATTCCAGGGGAGACAGGAACAGTCTCCTTAGAAACATCTACCTGATGAGCCCTCTCCCTTTTCGATTGAAAAAGCCCCTCCAACAGCACCCCAGACAGCCTCCCCCCAATGACTCCTCAGAGTTCCCTGCTGGCCAGAAGGCAGACCTTCCTTGCCAGGGCCTTCAGGACCAGCCCCACTGTGTGGGGAAGCCCCTGGTCCCCACGCGCCTGTCTTCTCGACACACCATGGCAAGGCTTAGCCACAACTCAGAACCCCCTCTGGACAGATCCGCAGGCCTGGAGGATTGCACAAGGGCCATTAATAATGGGAACCCCGTGCCCTACTCAGACCATGGCTTGGACGGGAACAACAACCCACAAAGTGAACTGGCAGCGGCCCATGGAGGTGGCATTTTGTGTGTTTGACCAGTCTCACCTCCCCGTCTCCACTTGGCTTGCTCTGTCCCTCCCTCTGTGTGCTTCTGGTGCTCATCTTCTGCCTTGTCTTTTGCTTCTGTTTGTTTTGCTTGGCAATTAACCATGGCTTGTAGTGGCTGCACTTCTTTAAAAACAAATCCCCCCACCTCATTTAGACTAACCAACCAAACCGTTTCGAAAGAAAAATTGGCCGTTTAGCTCATATCCAAGAACTGGGTTCATTTGAACTCTCAAACCCCTGTTCACACCAATTCCCAGCCTCCCTGTGGTTTTTGAGAGGCAGCCTCTCTCCGTGGCCCCGTGTGTATGTGAGTGTATGGTCTGTCCCTGTTACAGCCTGTGCGCCTCTTTGTGGGGACACTTAAAAGAATGTCCCTTTCTTTGCTCACTTTTGGCCTTCTGGTGAGTTGTCTTTGTATTAAACCAGTTTGCAAGTAAATCTAAAAAGCAGGTGGGGTGGGGTCTTGGGGTTTTTCCCTTCAGAATTTGTCATTGAATATTTATCAGCGTTGTTTATAAATTTAACCTTAATAATAGAAAAAAGCTGGCTTCCCACTAAGCCTTGGCTCGTTTTAACTCTGCTGTGTTGTTTTGAAGATTCAGAGTCACCAAGACATTTTATACCGGCTGATTACTTGGAGTCCACAGAAGAATTTATCCGGAGACGGCACGATGACAAAGAGGTAACTCTCCCCTCTTAGCTTCGTTGTTCTTGTTCAGGGAGGAAAAAACAAAGGAACTGAACTTCTCGGATACCTTTCAGAAGGATGATGAGGTGCAGGGACCAGAAGCAATGCTAGCTTTTCGTGAGCAGCTTTTTATAAGATTTGTCCTCCATTTGTTCCTCTGTAGTTTACTTTCTCAGAAAGCAGGGCTGACTGATTTCCATACACTCACTGGGTTATAAGTGCCACCCCCTCCAGCCTATCGAAGGCAGGAAACATGGCCTAGGTTGTAATTATTGCCTTGGAAACTTGGAAACTGGAGTTCACATTTTCCTCGATACCTCCCGTGTTGTTTACGGAAGTCTACCTTCCTGTTCCTTCTGTACTTGTCATTGACACAAAGCATACGTCACATTGGAGAAGATTGCAGTAGGAAGAATGGAAGGCGACATCACTGGTCACTCTGCAGTTTATGAACAATGAGAAGAAGTTGCTTGTGGTTCTGCCAGCTTTAACTTAGAAGGGAGATACCCACATTAGTGCTGGCAGACTCCACACAAGGACTTCAGAGCCTGGAGATGCC